CACGCCCATTTAGTGATTGCAATATGTACGTAATAGAAACCGCACCCCGAACTTGAGCTTTTGATCCCAATTTTTAAATTGATACATTGTAATATAAACCGCGGTTTATAATAGGACTTTAACGGTATTCGCGATAATTTATTGCATTATTGAGCATCAAGGCCCCGTTCCATGCATAGGAATAGAATGTTGAGTTCGAAAAACAAATAGAGACGGGCATTATAATAAGGGTAATTATGGGGTGAAAACGATTAAAATCAAAACTGAAAATGAATAACTCTGAGCTATATGAAAAATATTTATTACTTCTTAGTTTACATGAAAAATGTCATTCCCGCCATAACGACAAACACAAATCGTCGTCTGGCCAATCGCAACTTCGGGTACCGATGCCCAACGCGTAAATAAACGTAGCTCACCAAAGACAAACGCGATGGCCCATTTTATCGATGTCAATGAATCCCAGTTAAATATGCTCGAAAATACTTCACAGCTAAATGGGGGAGTAAATTGGGAGTACGTGTTTTCTTCCTAGAATGGCTTGAACACAAGGGGCATGCGCCACCAATTTTGAAATCATTTATGTCGTTGAGCTCGCCGATTTGCTGCGGGAATTTTACGCTTTAGCTCGCAAACAAGATGGGGTGCAGTACAGCAAGCTGTCGCTGTCTGGTTTACGAGCTTCAATCCATCGACACATCATATAACTCAAGCACACTTTGCACTGTGCTCGGCTTTTTCCTCGTACATTATGTCGTGCAAAGTGTGCTTTCGTACATTATGAGCCATCGGGGAGTACATTATTGTTTAAATAAAATGGATTAATAAAAATCAAAGGACATAAGGCATAGGCAAGGCGTCAAATGTTTTACTATGTTTTATGTATAAAAAGCACTTGATGAACATTTAACGTTCTTATATGAACACCACAATTCCATATGGTGAAAGTAATCTCCCTGTCTATCAAGTCTTAAATACACTGGTTTATATCAGCAGCAAGTACTAACCAGCTTACCACCATGAACCGTTTCTTGTTTTTCTCTGTAGTCCTCCCCCACTGTGTGGTGCTGTACCAGCCGAGTCAAATTACATTGCAAAGCCTGGTAACAAAGTTGCTGCTAGAGTGAAAGGCATTGATGGCGACGAGACCTGGATATTGGCAGAGGTTGTATCATTCAATGCAAACTCCAACAAGTACGAAGTTGATGATATTGACGAAGAAGGAAAAGAGTAAGTTAATAAGTGTTGTCTATGTTTGCATTTCCTGCACGAAAATGTGAAATAAAGGCATTCTTTTTGTCATCGCTAGGTCATTCACCAGTTGGTTCCAAAACTAGAAATTTATTCAATGTTATTCGTGTTAGCATTGTATGTACAATCGTGCCTAGTTGTGAATGTATCCAAGCATATTTCATTATTTTGATGTGTCAAGATAATATTTGGTAA